AATTGCCACTGTGTACTAATGTGTTATAATATTTATTCGTTATTCATTGTATATTAAGCATATAAATAAATATATACATGCGAGACACATGGAATCCAAAAAGTATATGCATTTTCACAGTACGCAATTTAGTTTGTCACAAGATTAAATTGTGAAGTCACATACTTTTTGTACATGTACTTCGCAGTACATATATATTCATAATCACGAAATGTTGACAAAATTGTTTCAGTTGGAAAAATTATGATGCAATGGTGAAGAATACAGTATTAAGACGGAGATGATAAGAGTAACTGAAAAATCGCATTCTCTTTATAACTAATAATAACTGCTATGATAATGGATATATTATGTGATAATCATAATAATATAATAAAAACTAATATGCGTTACAAAAATTAAATCTCTATCGATTCGAGCCGCTTGGAAAAACGAAATACATAAAAGAAAGACATAAAATTGTCGCTGATTTGTTATGAAAATGAAGCTTACTCCAATAGATTTCTAAGAAAATTATATTGCATGCTAATAATAATTTGTATTTGTATTGAGAAATGCGATCGGAATAAGCTCCATTTTGAAAGAGAAAGAAAGAGAGAAAAAAATGTGTTTTTTTAGAGAGTGTTTTCATAGATTATGATTATTATGACTATTTTTATGACTATTTTTTATGACTATTTTTACATTATGTACATCGATACATTATATATATTAGCCCCTGTTTAATTCATCTTATCGTCAAAAAAGAATTGTTCAAATTTGAACAATTTCAGTTCTATTCTTACATTCTTTTGTAATGACGAATAAGATTACGAATCACGAAAATATATATACACCCTCATACGTTCACGACTCCATATGTTCATATATGTACATATCTATTTACAAATGTATACACTTGTAATGTATGCACAAATTCTAATTTTTAAACATATTTTAAGCTTCTTAGATGCTCATGCAAAAGTAAAACTGAATATTTGAATGGAGATAAAAGTTATGTAATCCTTCGTAGTATTTTGAATAATTTTTAATAACTTTAATAGTTTTTATAAGTTTGAATAATTTTTATAGAATAATTTTTAATAGTAGAAAATGTCAGAATTATACTTTTTATAACATGATATTAATAGTGACATGTACAACATGTCACATACATAGTATAATCATCACCCATTTCTTTTTTTAATTATCGAAATATAAAGCTGTTTAATGTTTAGATTATGTAATATTAATGTTACATTTATGAGAAATATGGAACAAAGTATATCATCAATAAAAATTAATATTTAAAAT